AAGTCTGTCAACTCAGTAAATGTTCACAATTTACTGTTTGGTGGCAAAAGCCCTTCCGTTCTCTCCATGAGCTTGGGTGCTCTTCAGGGTGCATCCTTTCCAATCTCTTCGTAAAGGAGGCATATTTTGACAACTGGAGATCCTATTGACAGCAACTGTGCTGTTTTGGGGTTTACCGTATTCCTTCTCGCTCCAAAGTAATCACACTAGCTTGCTCGATGGGCTTGAACCTTGTCATATGAGCGAAATGATGTGAAGAGAGGAACAAACCAGAGATATCCGCATCTGAAGAACATATTTAGTCCTGAAAAAACATGAGCTGATAGAAGCATAGTGCTGCTTCACATTACGAACCCTGTCAGCTCAAACGACCAGGACGCAACATGCTATATCCAACAGATGAGCTCAGACCTGGCTAAAACAATGGACTGCTTTCAGGACTAACTACATTATTAAAATTCTAGGTTCTGTGGCTTGGTGCTCATCAGTTGCCGCAATAGGACCGTCAAAAGTTAAGAATGTTAATTCCAAGATATACAGATTTCGTAACCAATCCCTCATAAGACTCCAACCATGTTACTCCACCTGGATATACTCCGATGTGTTGGACTCCCATGATAACTGAGCGTCCATCTGACCAACCTACGTAGCTGCCACTAACCTTCTCCGTTAAGCCTTTCCTTACGGTTATCAAATACTATGTTTCATCATATGAGCATACTAGTAAACAACCAACACGTTTAGCATCCACCCTCTGACTTGTGCTCAAAATCTGTTGCTTCTTGTGTCCCACCGAAACGTCTGCACCGCTGACCCGAATTTTTTCTCAACCTAGAGAAAAAACACTATAATTGGATCGTGTGATTCACCGAATACTCACAATGGATGGTCACGAACTCTAGTTGACCATATGAAAAGGAGCTATCTACCACGGAAAAATTTAGCTCACGTTATCCATCCCAAACATATAGTCACCCAGACCTGTTTCGTCCCTTCCCATGCGTCCACCTATGTAATCCAAAAACCTATTAGCACTTAACATCTAATTTCATGCGATCAACATTTCCTGATGCCAAGACGTCATGATTTTGTAGAGCTGTAAGGCCAACACACGAGGTAGCTATTGAATATTCATTAGTGAACAAATGATATCACCGATAAAATCTTGATTCTTATGCTGTGCTGAGACCATCGCATGTGCTTTGTTCTGGAAAAGCTCATCTACCCAGGAAATCGCACATTTCATATCGATATTGTTAATTCGAAGCGTCCCATATTTATAAATAAATACGTGGAGTAGAGTAGCTCCTAAAAGCGGTGAACTTGACCGAATTCGGAATTACATTGTCCCATATATCCACAAAGCCATTAATAGATAGAAACCACTCGGTGTCGACAGTCACAAACGTAAATGCTGGTACCATATCATACAAACGATGGGATATTTAGGAAACATCGTGCAAAAGATCGTGAATGTGTTTGCAAAGTTTGTATATAGGTAGTCCAACGATGTTGAAATAATCACCGTCAATCTTTTCAACGAGACTGCAACCCAAACCTTGGATTCCGTATGCACCCGCTTTGTCGCTGAAATATAACAAGAGAATATATGGTCAGCCGAAACTCAATCGCTGCAAGTTTAAAGCTGTCAGGAAGGTGTTCAAGTAGAACATAAGATTGACGGAAACACGGTGCTGTGCCTATCTGATGAGACCCAAGAAAAGCGAAACCGGTCCTAGGCTGTCGAAGAGTTTTCGGAAACCTTGTAAGTGGCTCCCTTCATAAAAGCAATTTTCAACACATCGAAAACATGCGATTCCTAGGAGGAAGGTTGTTTTTCTTTCTCGTCCGTATATATAACCTGAGTAGTGCCGTAATTTACCAATTTACTTTAGGAAGGACAATCTTGTGTTAGGATGTGACAATCTATTGAAAACTAAGTTCTCATACCACACGGCCGAAGCCTTCGTATAAATGCAGCAAAACTATGGAAGATTATGGAAGCACTGTCCGCCAGGCTTTATCACAGTTGAGTGCGATGACTCTGGGGGGACAACTCAGCTGTACACGGAGGTCGATTCGAATGAACCACCAACTAATGGACGAACACGGTGTCCGGAGATCCGGTTACTTATGGCTTTATTACGAACGACATGAAAGACACCTATTTTAACCCCTAATTTGAAACTGGCACCAAACGCAACATGCTTACAGAGGTTCGCCGGAATTCACATAAGCTTCAATCACACAGCGTTCGAGGTGTGCCATTTTTACGGTTGTGACTTCATGAAATGTGATGAAACTGTCTCCTGATGACGGTTTTCTTACCCGAAGGCACACTCCTGTAATAACGTTATGAGTTTTTCCACTCAACCTAGAATGTGGAAGGAGAATAGAGCAGAAAAAGCATACTTGGAGAGGGTATTAATGGCATCCTCAGGGCTGGACGGTTTCCCGAATATTTTCCCCTCAAACACGACGACGGTGTCCGCTGAGACGATGATGTCATATTTCTAACAAAAAGTTTGGCAATAGTAATGGTCTATTACATCTGCTTCGTTGTTACTTGCAACCAAGTTTGCTGCTGCGATTGCTTTCTTCATTGCCAAAGCTTCAACATATTGCGGAATGGAATCGAAATCGCTTACAGGCATTTGTTCGTCTATCGGTGCAGCCAGAACAGCAAAAGGGATACCCTAAAGAGTAAACTTATGGGTTTTCCATTTCCAACCAGCAACATACTATATTATTCATGAGTTCTTTACGTCTAGGCGACGTGCTGGCGAGCAGCAGACGAAGGGAGGGAATAAGCTGCCTCGTAGAGAGTAGCATGGCGGGATACTTTCTGAAATATATTAGTGATATATGAAATAACATCATTATAACCGTTGTAACTAACATTACGACAACTGTTTCGTGTTGCAAAACCAGGTTCACTTCACCTGATAGCTTTACTTCGACGCAGCTTTGTTTGCGCCACACCAGTCAAATGAACAGCATAGACTGTGGTCATCGGAGGTTTTATGTGTGAGTGCCATTGATTGGAGGTCTCAGTCTCCCCTGCCCTCCCCCAGAGTTGGAGACGATAACAGAGCTAAGTTTGGTGGTAGAGACATTTCGTGTGTGTTGCCTGTCTTCTTCATCCGCCTCTAAAACCTCGGAAAAGTAAATACTCCAAGGACGTCCGCTAACGGACAGTGAGTGCACCAGCAACACTGCTCCTCTTGCGTCGGACCCTCGTCATCACCATCATCATCGACAGCATGACATTAGTGTTAAACAACGATGCTTTGCTGCCGTACAGCCATAAATTTTTAAGTCTTATTGCGAAGAATAAAGGTGGATGGGAAGGGATTTAATGCTAGCTTATTACAACCAATTCAAGGTGCCTACATCTCCACACATTCACTCAGGCATTCTGGATAGAAACTGATAACAAGAACGCCACTGACATCGGTTGGCAGTCATATCTTGTAGTGTCTCCAACCAGGCACAGTGAGGATCACGCGGTCTCCATCCTGGAAGGCGAGTATCACCGACAGCACTCAAGCGTTTCGTGATCTCCTTCATACTCCTCTGCCAAGTCAAGGGTTGGCCACTTCTCTGTTTACGCCACTCTGAGATGGGCATGCAAAACAGCACTCTCTTCGGCAAACGATGGTTCAGTATAGGTAACACATGTCCCAACCAAAGCAGCTTCTGGTGCTGGACAAATTCTTCAATGAAAGTACCCGTTGCACAACTGAAAACTCACTTTTTAGTTGCCTCGTTGCGGATTTGTCAACACCAACCCACACAAGCTACGGTTCTGAGATAACGATTGTCGAACACCTGAAAACGTCTCAGTTCCGCTGCTCGAATAGGCCAGGTCTCACAGCCATACGACAAACAGCCCGTACTGTAGCTTGATACGCAGGTCCCTTCAGATTCAGGGATAAACCATCCTGACACCATAGGTGTCTCGAATTAGCAAACGCGGCCTCATCTGTCACACTACAATCAGAACTAACAAAACTTCCAAGATACGTAAAACGCTCCACAACTTCCAGTGTCTCTCCCTAGATCGTAAGTGGAGTGTTTAGTGCCTGCATATCCAGGAGCATGGCCTAATAATTTGTGGGTACGAAGTGCATTCCAGAGGACGGGATGACTTTGGTCAGTTTGCATCCAAGAATAATTGCGCCTTTCCCTCCTCTTCGAACATGAGAACGATGTCGACTGCAAATTCCAGATCGACAATATTTTCTTCACAGGCTATTTGAACACCAGGGTTTTGGAGACCCTCTAGTGTCCATCTCATTATGGAGAGAGTGGGCGTCAGTGACGGACACCACATTGTGTACAGAAGCTTTTGGAGAGCTCTCCGTAAACTCACACACGTATGATGTTTACAAACTTCCGGGGCATTCCTTGATGGGCAAGTGCCTAAAGAAGGACAGACCGGTCAACCGAGTCAAATGCGCCTCAGAAGTCCAGGAATACTAGAATTGTGAATCGCTTATACGTATGTCGTTGTTCTAGCACCTGACGAAGTGTGAAGATTTGGTCAACGCAACCCCTATCGATTCACCCCAATTGTCTGGGACGGTCTCCTTCTCCCAGATAGATCCAAATAGGCTAGACAGGCATTGGCTGAGGAATCCACCGCCATCTTTGAAAAGAGCAGGTGGAAGTTCATCAGGACCAGCAGCACGATGACGCTTGAGTAGAGAAATGCATTCGGACACTTCTGAGACTGAAGGCGGCTCCATGTTTACAGTCCACCTTTCTGTTGAAGTCCAGGTTTCTGGAGTGGTGGCAGGTCGCCAGCTGAACTGCTGTTCAAAGTACTGTGCCCAGCGGTCTGGACGTTCTGCTTTGTTGCATATCAGGGAGCCATTTTTGTCCCTGATTATTTCGCTGACAAGAGGTTTCCGAAGACCAGTCGAACGAATCAAGTGGAACAATTTGCGCACGTTTCCAGCATTTTTTGCATTTTCCATTTCTTCGACCTTTCGGGTTCACCAAGCTTCTCGGTTTGCGTGGACACTCAGTTTCACCTGGCGTCGGATGATGCGCCAGGTGGAGTTGTGGTGGCGACCAGGTGGAATCTGTTGCCGGGTCTCCAGCAAGGACACGGTCCTATCAGAGATCCAATGCTTGAATGAGGTTGGCTGGGTTGTACCGTAAGCAGACGCTTCTGATTTGAGAAGCGCCTTGGATACTTTTTCCCAGTGGCTGTTTATATCCGGCACCATAACGTCCGACAGGTATTCGAGGAGCTGGTTCTGATAGTTTCGCTTGACTTCTGAGTCCACTAGCTTCTCAGTGGCTAAGCGAGATGTGCGCGTTTTCAGTACACCTGAAAAGCAGCAGCGTACAAGTGCGTGGTCGGAGTCTACGCTGGTGTTCCAGAAGAAGCGGCAGGCGGTGATTGACCCTCGCCACCGATAATTGACGGCGATGTGGTCTATTTGGATTCGGCGCTGGTTTGATGGTGAGCAGCACGTTGTCAAGCGATTTCCGCTGTTCCGGAAATTCGTACTGCACAGGAACAGCCTGTGATCGGCACACATCTGAAGTAACCGGTCTCCGTTGTCCGTGCGTCT